GGGAGGCTGTGCTTTATGTGTGGGAGATCCACCTCCTGTTGCCTTCGCTTCCTGCTTCTTTGAGGCCATCCTGCCACATAGGCTGGTTTTACTAAAAAGGGAAGTTCTTCTTCCTCTCCCACCTCCACAAAGACTTCTGAAAAAGTCCCCCAGATTTAATCAAATAAGAACCAAAGTAAAGCAAAGTCCAGTATTGAAAAAGGAGAAATTTCTCTGTTATTCTCTTGCTACAAGCGAAGCAACTTTGTAGCAACTTGGTAACTTTATAACAAAGCAAGATAACTTCACCAATCCACACTTGCTGACTCGTTAACTCTAATGCTGAGCGCCATATTTTTTCAAGTCACTTTCACTCATTCGCATTTTTTCTTAAATTGAAAAGTCAACAAAGCGCTAATACTTGCGATTCCAAGTTTCAGGGTTCAAGTGTATATCCGCTGCTTGTTAAAGTTGGTTCCTTTCGCTTTGAATGTTTACTGCAGCCGGCTTGTTCTGCAGAAGCAGAATCGTCCCACGCCGCCCGGAGTCTCAGCAGGTTGGGAGGGAGCCGCGCCTGTTTCCTCCCCAGAAACAATTCCCTGGGGGGTTACAGGGGCTCGACCTGTGCCCTGCTATCTCTCCTCCAACAATCCTCAAGATTTTGAAGTTTTCGAGCCGCTTCTCGATCGCGAAGCGGCTCTACAGGCGGCGGGGCTGGCGGAGCTTCAAAAGGCACCGCCGCCGCCGAAGGCTAGCAAACCGGAAGTCTATATATATATATTGTTGTTTCAAGGTTCTTTATCATATTTTAATTATATGAATATAAATCACTTAGGATCATCTTGGAAAGACATTTAGTAATAAATAAATCTCACCTTGCTAATTTTATTTTCCAGCCTGATCTTTCATTTTGGTGGCACACTGTTTCCCATTTTTCTTCTTTGTTGATTTTGCATCTTAGGTATTCAGTTATAACTGCAACGGAAGCTGTATATTGTTTCTTGCAATGAGCTTGTGCTTATTTTTGATATTACAGTATTCCTGTCTTTTAATGCTTATGCTAGTTGTTTCTTTGGAACAAGCTTTAAAGCAGGCAACCTGATTCTGTGGTTTTTGTGCTGTTCAAGTTACTCATTTATTCTTTGCTTCAAGTCTTCTAGTTCTTTAGTGACAGGGCTTTGTTCTTTTTGAGGTAAAGAAGAGGATGCTTGGTTTCCAAATGAAAACAATTCTATAGGTGTGCTAGTTTCCTGCATTGCCAATTTCTCCTGGTTTGCCACTATAGTCTGAGTTACCACTGGCAAGAGTTAGATTTCTTTGTCCTGGGTAGACTTTTTCTTCCAATTCAGCTTCTGTGAATACTTTATTTCATATTATAAATAATCACTGATCCCCTGATCTCTGTTTTGTTATTTCTGATTTTAAATATCGTTTTATTTTCCAGAACTGGTCCATTTATTTCAAATGTCCTCTAATTCCTGGACTTTATTTACAATCATTATATGGTTGTGATGGATAATCACCTTTCCTTCCAGTAGTTCTGCAGATGCTGGCCCTGGTTTCTTAGCCAATAGTCGTGTAGCCCATTTTACACCAGAAGTCCAGGAACTTCAATACCTTAGCAAGGTCCTTGCTGATCTTGTCAATGACCGAGCAAGTATGTGTTTCTGTAAATTATGCAAGATATTTTTTGATGGGAGAGACACTTTTTGTCTGACTCATCTGATGAAACCTGCCCAGAATGGTTGAATCTCTGGCATAGCTTTCATCTTCCTCAGAGCACAATAGCCCCATAACTACATCAAGGTAGTACCTCACTGGCACTCAAGGAACTGCCTCACTGGGGATTATTATGTTTTGTCATACAATTGCCAGATGTTCAGATTGGATTTGGCATTTTTATTTACATATCAAATCCTTCCCAAAGACCAATCATAGACAGATGTAGATATTGCATGGTGTTATAGTTATCATCACCGGATGTAAGCTGCTCCAAGTAAAGCTGCCTTTTGCAATTGGTTGATGAGAAATTTGTCAGTGCCAATGTTGTTCAAGTGGTGCTCCAGTTGTTTTGGGATTGCACCCAAAGTGCCTATAACTATTGGTTCTACCTTTGCTTTCTTTTGCTGTAGTCATTCTATTTCTATTTGCAGTCTTTGTATTTTGTTATTTCTCAATTCTTTCACTTCTATTCTGTTGTCTCCATCTACTGCCACGTCCGCTATCCAGACTTTTTTGTCTTTCTTACAACAACCTTTAATCTGGAGTGTTATGCAACAGGTGCCTGTATGTTTGAAATCTAAAGTCTTAGATCAATTTAACTTCTTCATTTTCTATGACTTTCTCTATTTTATGATCCCAACAGTTCTTGCTTGCAGGCAAATGGTATTTCTTGCAGATCTTCCCAAGGCACCATTGTTGCTCCTTTGCCAAGCTGTTGTTTGTGGTCAATCTGTGCAATCTTCTTGCCAGGTGATTCCCGATTTCTTCAGCTTCCTTGCAGAGGTGACGTTTGCTATTTGTTGCTGTCTTCTCAATTCTGGCTTTGTATGCATTTGTTCTTAAGGTTTGGTTTTGTGCAGCCAGAATTAGCACTTCTACCTCTTTCTTCAACTTTCCTGCTGGGAGTCATTCCATGTCTTGCTATTATCTGTTTCCCTGCTATTTGTTTTAATGCAGTGGCCATGCAATGTTTTGTCTTTCCATGTCTCTTTGTAGTTTTTCCTTTGGTTTTTCTTGTAGGCCAATTTTGTCTCTCCAGTACTCATTAGGCCTTCCTGATATGTTAACTTCAGTGCAGCTTCCTCACTGTCCCATTATTATTATTTAATTGATTCATAGTTATATTTTTCAAACTCAAGATGGCGAATATACTTCATAATTTTTCCTCCTCCTATTTATGCCTTAATACTAATCTATTAATTATATTGATGATCTGACGTGTTTCAATTATGTACATTTCCCAGAATCACATGCAAGTGAGATGGGTGGCTATATAAATTTGATAAATAAATAAATAAGTAAATAAGTAAATAACCCCACTCAAGTTCTACTTAGCATGATTGTTTTTCCGTTATAACATCAAAACAAAACCATAAAATTCCAGCCATCCTTCATTTTAGTTATCACCTTTAAAGCGCTCCATGGCTTAGGACCTGGGTAACTACGAGACCGTCTTTTGCCACCAATAGCCTCCCACCGACCAGTTCGTTCTCACAGGGAGGGACTACTCAGGGTTCCGTCAGTCAAATTATGCCGACTGGCGACTCCCAGGGGGAGGGCCTTCTCTGTGGGGGCTCCAACCCTTTGGAATGAACTGCCCCCGGAGATACAGAATATCCCTGATCTCCGTGCTTTCCGCCGTGCCCTCAAGACCCTGATGTTCCAACAGGCAGGGCTAAACATATGAACATGTGAATGATTTTTTAAATGTTATCTAATTCTGGGTTTTATTTGATTGACCAAACTAAGTAATAATTTTAATTAGCAATTTTATGATGTTTGTGTGTCTATATTTTTCTTGACTGTACACCGCCTTGAGTCCTATGGGAGAAAGGCGGTATAGAAATATAATAAATAAATAAATAAATAAATAAATAAATAAATAAATAAATAAATAAATAAATAAATAAATAAATTTTAATTTTCCAAATATGCCTCCAGAATGTTTTCTTATGGTCTTCCACCAATGTCCAACATCTTTGTTTCTTTTGGGGTACTTGTTGAGAAGTTTAAAGTCTGGGGTGTAGACATCATATACATGCTTCTAAATAAATAGACATAAAATAAAGTTTGATTGATAACCTTTGTGTGCATTTCTTCCTTGCTAGGTGTTAAAGGAACTATGATTGCTGTGAATGTTATAGGAACTGTCAACCAACCCAAGAAATAAGATCTACAACATTGCAGGGACCAGAACATAAATTGGGGATTGGTTTGTTATAATGTCTTGCAAATTTGCTTTTATTCACTTGTTTCTCCCCCTCATCCTCCCCTCTCCAAACCTGCAAACTTTCTTTCTGGCTTTGAAGAAGACAGATTTTGTGTCCCTTTCCCTGCCCTCTAGTGGTGAGCTGAGACATTTGTCAATATGATCTAAAACTTCAGGTAGCCTGCAAATACAAACACAGTTGGGACCCCAACATTCATTATTAAGTGGTGCAATCATTAAGTGAGGCCTTGTTGAACTGTGGTGGCACAGTTATTAGAATGTAGTACTGGAGTCTAATTCTGCCAACTGCCAGTAGTTTGATCCTGACTGGTTCAATATTTTGTAGTCTAATGGATTGTGAAAAATTGGAATTTATATCTTTCCCCACCTCGATGTCTGTATGATGCAAACTTGTGTCCTTTTTTTCCTTTATATTGAACCTATAGGATATTTTCTTCAGTCTCATCCTGAACTCATGAATGAAAAAAATTGAAGGCTCTCTTAGTTGGACCAGAGTTGGAGTGCAGTGGGGTAGAGAATGTGGTGTGGTGTAGTGTAAGTATGGATAGGATAGGATAGGATAGGATAGGATAGGATAGGATAGGATAGGATAGGATAGGATAGGATAGGACAGGACAGGACAGGACTGGACAAGAGAAAAATAGAATAGAATAGAACAGAATTATAGTAATGCCTTTACACATACATATATTTACATCTCTATTTCTCTTTATGGATCTAATGATTTTATTTTTTGTCTTGTTGTTCATGTGTTCCTGCCCCTACAAGTCCTCACATGTTTTGAAGTTGTTCACATATGTGACTGTCTCACTATCATTATAGAATTAGCCAGTTTGTCTCTTCCAAATCATATGGGACTGAATTTTAGTGTCAATTTAGTAGTTAGTGTCCCCATCCGATTCTAACTCATGGCTGGGAGTCCCAAAGCTCTGTGAGCTGATTTGTTAGTATGTTGCACTCCCTAGTTTTGTCTGAAAAACATCTCCAGGAGTCAGATCTGTCTGGTCTACTTCAAAGATCTTGGAACAGACAGAGGCATTTGTACACAGAAAGAAGACACCCATGGAAGATGTTAGTATTGGAGTTACTGTTAATAGTATTGCCTGCAGTGACGTGCAAGAATCCTAGCCTTCAATGTGACTTTCGGAAGCCTCTTCCTATTCAGCACACCTATCATCAGCTTGGAGACATTAATATTGCTGGCATTATTTCTGTATTATCAACATATTCTGATCCCATTGATTTCAGTCAAGATCCTTCTCAGGGATTTCAAGATGGACTTCTGTAAGTATATCATTAATTTATTGTCAAGCTCTGAACGTTGCTGGTAAATCACATGATGCTTGAAATATTTTGCTCTAATGGCAAAAATGTCTGATAGAAACATCTAAAATAGGAGGATGCCTAGGTTTATTTTATGTAAAGTTATATTTTATTTCAGTTTCCAGGTAAAGTTGAAATTGTTAAAATAGAGATCAAACTTCCATTTATAACAAATCACATCTAAATATCTATTAATATACAGGTATGTATGGCTTAATTTATGAAGCTGTTACTACCATTAAGGAAGGGAAAGCACATATTTCCCATGATATGTTTTCCCATTCTTTATTTCTGGTATCAAAATGTAGCAATTTCCATTTGCATTTAAGCCATTCTTTAAAGCTGCAGTTTTGATAGTGGGCCATTCTCACGTACAGAAACATAGAAATAAGAACTATTTCACACATTCCACAAAACGTGTTGTATGAAAGAATTGTAAGTGCCATAATGTGATGCAGGCCTTTCTTAATGTGCTGTTTTTAATTCTGTTTTACAGAATAATTTTTCAGAATTACCAGCATATCCTGGCTTTAGTGTTTACTATAAAGGAGATCAATGAAAATCCACAAATCTTACCCAACATCACTCTGGGCTTCCACATTTTTAACAGCAATTTTAGTCCAAGCTGGACTTACTTTGTCTCAATGCTTCTGCCTTTCACTCAGGGCAAATTCATCCCTAACTACAAGTGTGGGATCACAAATACCTTGGCTGCAGTCATTGGGGCACCTGACATCTCTCTTCACATGGCAACTGTGCTGTGCATCTACAAAGTTCCTCAGGTTAGATTTGCTGTAGATAAACATTATCATTCTGCCATAGCTCCACAAATATTTATATGCTTCTCTCTGTAAAAAGGAGAGACCTTTTGGATAAGTAGATATTACTTTTTGCTTGATCGGATCAGAATAGCAGCATGAACAATTGTAACTCTGAACAGACGGTGGGGATATTTGACACAGGAAAACATGCCCCTGTTGGAAGATATATCTATCTAGTTCAGTTCCAAGCTGGGTGGAAGACATTGGAAACATGGAGGCTGATTGGAAAGAGGGTGAAACAGAAGCACATGGGTGGTTCTGGACAGCTGGCCACATGGAGTTGAGAATGAGAGTTATTTATACCTTGTCCTGGGCCTTGCCCTTGAGCTTCCTGTTCCTGTGCAAGAAAATGTATTCAATTGTCTGTTGTAGGTTTTCATAGCTAACTCTGTAGGTTGTCTGAGAAGTCTGGTTAAAGCCTGAAGGATGATGCAATCTCCCCAGGTTCATTTGTAATGTGGTGTGCTCTGCTGCTAGATAATCCTCTTATGTCATGGAGAGTCATGTCTTAATAAGTATAGGTATAACTTTATTGTCATTTTACATGTATACACAGTATACCCATACAACGAAATTCACATAACACCAAAAGACCATGACCAACACACATAACAATCTCCAAACACATTCCCACCCACCACAAATTCCCCAACCCTCAACCACCCAAACAGCTACACAACAGACCAAGTAATGCTGTCCAACAACTCACTGATGGTGGCCCTTTAGTTCATTGTTGAGTGCAATCATAGCTCTGGAATAAAAACTATTCAGAAAATGTGTGGTTGGAATTATAATTATTCGGTATCTTCTGCCAGAAGGCAACAGTAAGCAAGAGTGTAATCCCATCACCCTGGAGTTTAAGATCTTTTGTTTTGTAGATAGGTTGGCTCAGTCCTTCTCACTCTCTCAAAGATTTTTATTAATAATATACAAACATAAATACATTAAGACAACATACTAAATGAACAAGCATCAATTCAGTCCAGTGACTGACTCTTAGAAGTTACTACAACGGTGGGTTATTTTCATATTCTCTTATTTTTCTCTATTTGTATCTATATCTACATTCACATATTTACATGATTATATATATATATGTATAGTTGACTCTTTATTTACTTCTATGCATTTCTATTGAATAGTCGAAAATTATCTTTAAATTCCTATTTTTGTCTCCAGCTTCGGGGATATTGACTACTCTTTAGGAGCACCTAAAGAGTCTGTTGTGCCGCCACTTTGGCCACGCCTCACCCCTGGGCCTTGCCCTTGAGCTTGCTGTTCCTGTGCAGGAACATGTATTCTATTGACTGTTGTAGGGGTCATAGCTAACCCTGTAGTTTGTCTGAGAAATTTGGTTGAACCCTGGAGGATGATGCAATGTCCCCAGGTGATTTTGCAATGTGGTGAGTTCTGTTGCTAGATAATCTATTATGTCATGGAGAGTCATGTTTTAATCCCATCACCCTGGAGTTTAAGATCTTTTGTTTTGTAGATAGGTTGGCTCAGTCCTTCTCAATGGGCACCAAACATCTGCTTGGGCAGGGAGCCAAAGCTCTGAGTTTCTGTCTCCCTTAAGATTTTTTATTTCTCTTTTAGGGGAAATCTTTTATTCTGCCTTTTTTTTTTAAATATTTCTCAAAATATTTCATATCTGAAATATTTCAATTTCAGACATTGAACTAAAGTTCAGATTTGAAATGTTGACAATCAGACTATTTCCAGAAAAATGTATTTACTGATACCTCAAGTGTGACATCTTGGTTTATATTTCCTAATAAACACAACTAGTTGCATAATTTCAGTATATAACGTCAAAGACACCCAAGGACTCAAATAAATATATACATTTTCAGAGGCTCACAGAGAATTTTGCAATGCATATGTTTATCTTTCTGTAGTTGACCTATGGCTCTGCTCCAGTCATGGATAAAGAGACTCAAGCAGTTTTCTTCCAACAAATGTTTCCGAATGAATCCCACCAACGTAAGGGCCTCCTGCAGTTATTACTGTACTTTAGATGGATCTGGATTGGCATTCTCATAGTAAAGGATGAAAAAGGAGAGAAATTTCTCCAGGAGGTACTCCCCACTTTTTCTGAGCATGGCATCTGCGTTGAATTCATAGCAGAGTTCCCAAATGTAGCTTTTTACAGTGATTTTACTGATGCCATAAGCGAAGGATTACATATATACCATGTTCTCATGAAGAGCACAGCCAATGTGATAATATTATATGGTGAAATTCAGTCCTTAGCAGGTCTGAGAACTTTCCTCCAGTTTTCAGAAGTGGAGAATATACCAAGAAAGAAAAAGATTTGGCTTATTACAGCTCAGATAGATTATACTTCAATTTCCGTTCATAAATCTTGGGATATCCATTTCCTACAAGGTGCTTTATCCTTTGCAGTACACACAAAAGAAGTCCAAAACTTTCAAGAATTTCTTCAAATTCTAAGTCCAAAGAACAATCAAAATGATCATTTTCGGAAAGATTTCTGGGAACAGGCATTCAGCTGTTTCTTCTCAAACTCAAAAATGGAGGTGTCTGAGAAAAAGTGTACTGGACAGGAGAAGCTTGAAACCCTTCCTACATCTGTGTTTGAAACATGCATGAGCGGCCAGAGTTACAATATTTACAATGCAGTCTATGCTGTGGCACATGCTTTGCAATCTCTCTCTATATCCAAATCTAGAGAAACAACAATGATGAAAGAAAGAAAGAAACATTTTCACAATCAAGTGTGGTGGCAGGTAAGTCTGTTACCAGGGTAGTGAGAAACCACCATATCTGTAGTTGTGTCCATGAACTCTAGCAAACAGTATTCTCCAGGGATATTGATGTCTGAAAATCCAAAAGTGAGAGTAACGGATTAACTAATCAAAACATTCATATGCTGATATTAAAATTGTAAATGGCATTCTACAAAATTTCTTAGAATATGTTTCTCTCCATGAAATTAACTTCCTATCAAGCCCAAAACCAAGAATGACAGATAGTAATTCTTCTAAGCTGATTTCTTCTTGTTTTACACCTATAGATAAAATCTTGTCAATCTGAGCACTTTACTCTCTATATCTGCAATTTACTCTGTGAATTATTTTCCTCCTCTTTATCACAGACAAAATATCCAATCTGAATTAACTGTAGCTTCCCATTCTGGGAAGCTACTTCCTTATCATTCCATAAATTCAGTCTATAAATAAATGGAAGGTGGTGTTTATACTTCCACTTGATATTAGAGTGATATCATCTGCATATATGAAGTTGTTGATATTTCTACCAACAATCCTAGTTCTCGCTTGCGATTCATCCAGCCAGACATTTCACACAATATACTTTGCATATAATTTAAATAAGCAAGGTGACAATATATAGCCTTTTTGTACTTATTACCATATTTTGAACCAATCAGTTTTTATATGTCTGGTTCTAACTGTTCCTCATTGGCTGGCATGCACATGCCAGACCTGCCCAATCTGATCTCTTAGGAAAGAAAGACCATCAACTCCATTTGGCTAAAGCAAAGAGTTCTTCTACTAAAGTTGCTGGTTGCAGTAATGTGAAGCCAGCTCTGAATTCTCCCGTGCTTGCAAAATACAAAAAAAGGTTCACCCACATCTCATTCTTCCCCCCACCTCTGTGACCACTCCTTTTCCAGTCAACCAGAGCTCACCAAGATGTTTTGAGAATGCTGAGATGTTTGCAGATAATCCACATATTTCTCAGGATTGGCCTTGGGATGCTGGTGCAAACAAGATCTGGCTGCTCTGGTCTTTATCACCTGTCATTCCCCTTCCCAATTTCCCATCACATACACCCACACAGCTTTATTGCCCTTCCCTCCTCCCCACCTCTTCTGGCCTTTGACGGCAGGAAGCTGTGAGGTGCAAAGCTGAATCAGGAAGAGCTGACATTGGCCTTCTCAGGTTACAGTTATGGTGGTCTGGTATTGACAACACTTTAAGAACTTGCCACAGATTGTTGTGATCAACATAATCAAAGGCTTTAGTATAATCAATCAAGCAGAAGTAATGGTTTTCTTGAACTACGTTGCTTTCTCCACAATCCAGCAAATATTGCCAATTTGATCCCCAGTTCCTCTGCCTATTCAAAACACAATTTGTACTACTGGTCCTTCTCTCTTCACCTACTGCTGAAGCCTAGCTTGTAGGATTTTGAGTATAATCTTGCTAGCAGGTGAACTTAGCAAAATTACATAGTAGTTTTATGCATCCTAGTATTTGTTATATATTTATTGGAAGTGATCTGGCTTAAGTAGCTTTGAAATTAAACTACAGAGCTTAATTTTATTTTTTTGCTGGTTGTTTATTTTTCAATTTTATATTAATTTTATTTCAGTAGTCTGATATGTTACCTCTACCTCTGTTTTAGAATTATTGTTATGTTAATTGTTTGATACAAATATCAAAATAAAATAAAAATAAAATAAAATAAAGTGTTCATATTTTCTTTGTTTAAAGATATATTCATATGTATGTTTTGAATATATGAATAATTTCTCCCTCCCTTGGTTTGTTCCCCTCTGATTGCCTGTGTTTCAGGTTCATTCTTTTCTGAGAAGTGTCAGATTCAACAATAGTGTTGGTGAAAAGATTTCCTTTGCTAAAAATGGAGAATTCATTGGTGGATTTGATATTATCAGTTGGATCACATTCCCAAACCAATCTTTTCTTAGGGTCAAAGTTGGAGTGATAGATCCCACAGCTCCAGCAGAGAGCTTCTTCAATATTTCTGTAGATTCCATCACATGGCCAGTAGGCTTTAATCAGGTTAGTTTTTTGAATCCAGATTTCTCTGCCTTCATTTAAATATCTTTATTGATGAAAGTGTCACAGTATCATCTCTGACTAACCTAGGTACAAATTTTCTGGAAAAGGAAAGATACCAGTAAGATTTATTTACTTTTTTAGCAATTGCTGTTGAATATTGAATTCTTTACTGGCCCTCCGTTAATTATGGACAATGATTTTTATGTTTTTGAAGTAAAACCTGCTAGATTTCATCCGTTTCCTGATTTCAAAATTCAGAAGTTGAGAAAACCAACTTTAACTAACTAGCACAGAAATTGTCTTTGAAGACCAGTGATGATGGTATCGAAGGCCATAAATACAATAATTGTAGATATTTAATTAATTATTATTTCAGAGAAATTACATCTAAAGTTATGTCATCCTGCTATCCATCTATATTTTTCATCTATTGATTCCGTACTAACAGTATCTCTCCAAGCATTTCCTTTCCTCGCTGTATCTTAAAAGTTCTTCTCCATTCATTGATAGGCATTACCTTTATCTTTGTGTAATGATCCTTGTGAGACAGGACACAGCAAGGTCAAGAAAGAAGGAAAGTTGTTTTGTTGCTATGATTGTCACCTATGTCCAGAGGGGAAAATAACAAAGGAGAAGGGTACGAAATTTCCAAATATACTGGGATTAAACCAACACTATGTAATTTCCTATATCAATTCACCTGCATTGTTTTTCAGATGTAGATGACTGCTCTCCATGTCCAGAAGATCAATATCCAAATCCTGGGAAAAATATGTGCATTCCAAAGCAGATCATCTTTTTGTCCTATGAAGAACCCTTAGGGATCAGTCTGACTGTTCTTTCTCTTTTCTTTTCTTTAATGACAACTTGGATAATAACAGTCTTCATGAAACACAAGCACACTCCCATCGTCAAAGCCAACAACCAGAATCTCACTTATACACTCCTACTTTCTCTTCTCCTCTCTTTCCTTTGTGTCTTTCTATTTGTTGGGAGACCCAATACGATTGTGTGTCTCTTTCGACAACCAGCTTTTGGACTCATCTTTTCTGTGGCAGTTTCTTGTGTCTTGGCCAAAACATTTGTTGTGGTTTTAGCATTCATGGCCACCAAACCTGGATCCAGATTGAGGAAATGGGTTGGGGGAAGGATGGTCAGTTTCATTCTTCTATCCTGCTCCCTTATTCAAATATGTGTTTGTGCTGTATGGCTGATAATGTCCCCACCATACCCAGATTTTGATACGCAGTCAATGTCTGAAGAAGTCATCTTGGAGTGCAATGAAGACTCCGTCATGTTCTATTGTGTTTTGGGCTTTATGGGTTTTCTTGCTCTCCTTAGCTTCTGTGCTGCTTTCCTAGCTAAGAATTTACCTGACAGTTTCAATGAAGCCAAATACATCACCTTCAGTATGTTGCTCTTCTGCAGTGTTTGGTTGTGTTTTATTCCAACCTATCTAAGCACTAGGGGAAAATATACATTGGCTGTGGAGATCTTCTCCATGATCTCCTCCAGTGCTGGATTATTGGTGTGCATCTTTTTTCCCAAGTGTTTTATCATTGTGATGAGACCTGAGCTGAATGATAAACATCAGCTCATGAAAAGGAAGTTTTAAAAAATCTTTCTGTTTGCCTGATATTCTTTATATGTACATGTTGGAGAACTTCCCCACTGAATTTGTAAAAAGAAGTGTGGTTAAATACAAATACAAATTTATTTAAACAGGGAAGGTTTATGATTATTTTTCTAAAGCAATCAAACAGAGGGAGGTCCCTGTTGAGGAAGCTCAAACTGGCCAAGGAACTGCTGATCCACTTCTAGAGAGGAATTATTGAGTCTGTCATCTGCACCTCTATAACTGTCTCATTTGGTTCTGCAACCCAACAAGACAGACACAGACTTCACAGGATAATTAGAACTGCAGAAATTACTACCAACCTGCCTTCCATTGAGGACCTGTATACTGTACGAGTCAAAAAGAGGGCTGTGAAAATATTTATGGACCCCTCACATCCTGACATAAACTATTTCAACTCTTACCCTCAAAACAATGCTATAGAGCACTGCACAACAGAGCAACTAGCCACAAGAACAGTTTTTTTCTTGAACGCCATCACTCTGCTAAACAAATAATTCCCTCAACACTGTCAAACTAGTTACTAAGTCTGCACTACTATTAATTTTCTCATCGTTCCTATCACCCATCTCCTCCCACTTATGACTGTATGACTGTAAATCTTGTCACTGCGTTATTTTATTTACCAGCTGAGCTCATTATTTCTGGACTATCTGACTCTCCGTACCTTGCCAAGAATTGTTATCAAAAGCTACTACGCATGTCCATCCACCCACATTCCATTCCTTCACACTCTTTCCTTTGTTCTCTTGCCACGGGTGCCGGTTGCTGAAAGGCAGCTGGCCCGAATTACTTTCAAAAATGTAGCAATTAACTTTTCTTAGTTAGTGAGGTGTTTATTTTCTTTATAACAAATAAATGAGTTTTATTAGAAACTTTTCCTCGCGTTTCTTTTCAGATTATTGCAACTTGGAATAAGCCTCGATTCATCTCCTCTAAACCAGGGTAATTAGTCCAGAGCCAAACATGGGATTAATAAATGCCCTGACATCTGGTAGCAGAGGATGGTTTGATTTATGGCTTTTTTCCTTGTTTTGTTACTTCTGATAAGAGCGCATAGGCAATTAGTTTTTAGCTACTGAGGTACGCTAATTATATTGCTGAGATGCCGAAACAGAAGAAAAAAGGCAAAGTGAAACCAAGAGCACTCTTTGTAAATGATTTGATTGATCTTTCCAACGAAGAGGTGGCAGACAGGAGATTTTCAGATTTCCAGCCCCTTACTACAGCCACACGCCTGGAACAAGAAAAAGCTGTGGGAACAGAAATGGAGACAGATAAGACAGAAGCTGTTTTTGAAGGAGAAGCACTACGACTGAGGTCAGTAACTCCCCCTTCTAATTATGCCAGCTCTCAACCTGTCTTCCCAGAACCTTCTGAATTTGTAACGCTCGATGCAAGGCTAAAGCAAACTGCTGAGCAAAATTCCTCCCACACAGAGAGAGAAACAATTCATTATTCTCCTCGAAGCTCTAAGCTCACCCTGGATGAGCTGGCTATGAAAGCCTATCGTGACCGTATAAAACTCTATGAACAGCAGCTATCCCAGGCAAAAATGGCTATATCTATGCTTGAGCAAGATATGGGAGATAACTTAAATTTTTCAAAAAGCGCCATATTGTCTTCTTGCTCAGAGCCAAAGACACTCCCCTGGTGGATTCTGTGTCAGGCCAATTAAGGCAAAGAGCACTGCATACGTCACATGAAAATCTCCCTGATCAAGTTACACATGTCTTACATAACCACTCCTACTCTAAAGCATACAATGCCCCGTATGCAAAGCTGCCTGAAGCCAAAGGTGCAGCACCATCTGCTGGCAAAAGTAATTTACTACAAGAAGCTGAAATGCCACAAGTGTTTCCACAGGCCCAAACTCAAACACCCCCTGGCGGTGTTGTGGTCTTTTTAGATGGAACACAGCAAAGGCAAATGACTGCATCTCCAGCAGGTCATGCCAATATTGCAGAGCAAGCACAAATGGCAACTGGAATACAGCAGATTCCAGTGCATCAGCCACAGCAGCTACAAATGCCTGCATATGTGCCCCAGCCACAAGTGCAAATAGGGCCACCTCCTGGCCCGCCTCCAATGGCACAACCAAGACCATTTTTAGGTCCACAACAGGCACAGCAAATACCACAGGCATTCCTGCCAGCACAGCCAGCATACCAAGTGCAGGCTCCTTACCAGGCATTTTCTGTCTCTCCACTAACTGGTGAGTCAAAACTAAAAATGTCAGGACACAATTACAAAGCCTGGGTCAGTGAGATTACATTATTGCTTCTTAGAGAAGGCACGCACTGTATGGTATTTAACCCACCTGCTCCACCTTGGACTTATGCAATAAGAGATTTAGAGATAAGGGTTCGCACAACATTATTGATGTCCATGGATACTGAACTGCAGGTCACTTTTCCACCAAATACAACAGCCCGTCAAATTTGGGCTGAATTGGAAAATTGCTACAGGTCTATCTCAATTGAATCTTCATGTTTACTCATGTCTGAACTCCACGGTTCGAGATTGAAACCTGGTGAACAAATTGGAGGACATTTGACCAAACTGAAAGGTCTGAGAACAGAATTGAGAGAAAGAGGCCATAACATTGAAGATATTCAAATGATCAGCATCATTATTAACTCTTTGAATTATGAATGGAAAGATGCTGTTACAAAAATTAACCAAGTCCCAATTGCTCAACGCACAGTGAACAATGTCTGTAGACTTTTAATTGAAGAAGAGGCATTCATGCTGGCCACACCACACTTGAGAGGACCACCCGCATCAAGAGCTCCAGCTAGGCGCCCCTTCCGAGGAAGGACCTACGCTCCAAGGATGCCAAGATGCTACACCTGCAATCGTGTGGGACATGCCACCCGGGATTGTCCCCAACGAGTTCCAGCTCCCGTCACATACCAGCCCAGAGGAACAGACTCCAGAGGCAGAGGCGGAAGACAAGGTCGTCGTGGTCCCCGGCGTGATCCACAAACTCCACTCGCCACATTAGCTTTAACCAATGATCCACAACCTCAACCAGAGTACGATAGACGACTCCTGTGGACTTTGGACAGTGGTGCAGCATTGCATGTTACCTACAGAAAGGAACTTTTCACAGAAATGCACGAGCCTGGACCAGAGCTACGTGAACTTTATTCTTTTTCCAATCATCCTTGTCAGGTCAAAGGAAAAGGAACTGTTTATGTTGAAGAGCTCGATGCATTCATTCCTGATGTTTATTACAAAACAACAGCAACCAGTAATTTGCTTAGTCAGTGTCACTTGTCTAGAATGTTAAAGTTCCAAGTTCACCACCTTGAAAAAGCAAGTTACATAGTTAAAGATGGAGATATTGTTGCTGAAACCATATTAATTGGTGGTGTTTATTACTTAAAGCCAAAGCCTAAACCACAAACACAGGCAAGTATGCAAACTCCAAAAAGGGAGAGCACAGGCCCAGATAGAGATGCTCCAGAGAGAGATCCTGTTGCTATTCCTAAGGCTCCTAAAGCCAACAAAAAGAGAATTGGTAAACAGGTTGCTCAGAGCAAGCCTGAGGTTCCGCATAAAAATGTTAATGTTGAGAATTCACTAACTGGTAAACCTTGGCATTCCAGGTGTATCCACAAATGGCATAGAGATTGGGGCATGCCAGTTTCCGTGTTCTTAGGAAGATGCCAGAGTTCGCAAAAGGTTTGGATCTAAAGGGGTGTAAGGTGTTTTTGGTTGCGCTGTATGCAAGAAGGCCAAATCCAAAGCAGCAGCCATTCCCAAACACGCTACACGCCTGTCAACATGCATTTTTGATTTGGTTCACATTGACATAGTTGGTCCTTTCCCGCCATCATTTGGTGGTAGAAAATATTTTCTAACAATTGTTGATAATTACTCTAGATATGGATATGTATATCTTATGAAAGAAAAATCAGAGACTTTTCAGATCTTTAAAGACTTTGCAACCCTTGTTTCTACCCAACACCAAGTTCGCATCGCCAGAATCCATAATGATCGTGGTGCCGAATTTATGTCTCAGCGTTTCCAGGACTGGATGCGTAAGAATAGAATTCTTCATCAGACTTCGCCCCTGACACACCGGCTCACAACGGAGAGGTACTGCAAACCATGATGCGTTGTCTCCTAGAAGACGCCAACCTTGATACGATATACTGGGGTGAAGCTATCAAGTATGCAAATTACATTGTAAACCATACTTGGAGCAGTGTAACAAATCAGACTCCTTTCTTCATGTTGTATGGCTACAAGCCCGATCTTAAAAACATTCATATTTTTGGTTCATATGCTATGGTGAACATTCCCTTAGCTCAAAGAAGAAAAGGAAGTCCAGCAGCAAAGAGACTGAGATTTATGGGTATTGATGATAACTCAAAATGGAGCAGATTTATTGACTCTAAACATGCAATTGTGATTTCCCAATCTGCTAATTTTGAAGAAGATATTGACTGGTCCAGGATTCATTCCAATGATCCTGGAGTTTATTTTCCCAGAGATGATACTGCTGATCCCACACAGATTGACAATCAAGATTCCACTGATTCTTCTCAACCCGATGTTCTGTCTTCGCAAGCCGCGGATGCTGATGCTAGCGACGAAAGTGAGGACGAGGACGAAGCAGAAGAAGATTGGACAGTTGTTCCGAGACGTTCCAAGAGGGCCACAAAAGGAATCCCTCCACAACGATATTCTTGGCAACTGACAAAAGCACCCTTACCTTTGATTTGCAATGTCACACTTCCACCTGATAATTTCACACAAATCAAGCAGCTCCCTGATTCAGAGCAAGACAAATGGTATGAGGCAATGCAGGCTGAAATGGACAGTCTAAAGAAACTTAAAGTATTTACACCTGCAAAACCTCCAGCAAACAAAAAGGTCATTGGCACTCGATGGGTCTACAGAATCAAAAAGAAACCAAATGGTGAGTCATTGTACAAGGCCAGACTTGTAGCTCAGGGTTTCGCTCA